TTCTTGCATGCCTCATCATGCAACACCACTATACTATATATTTGTTTGGGGGGTCAATGAGTCCCCCACTTTCCACAAACAACTAAAAAAAAAATTTGGTCATAATCCATATGTAAACATGTACGAAATACATTGTGAATGCTGACAATGATTCTCAGTTTGCAGATCCAAACTTTTCTCAACTAAAATTATGTAGTTAACAAATACATTCACAAACTTACAATTCTAGTTATATATACAAACACTTATCTCCATCATTTTTCACAAAATAACAAAAAATATATATATACACGAAATAACAATCAATATAGAATGAACTTTTAACTTCGGATTAAATTTGATGACAAAATATTGACTTCGTCTAGAATAAATTGTAAGAAAATGTGAAAACCATTGGAATTACTAGATATATTTTTTCAACAAATTAACCCTAGTTTAAGATGGATTGAATCATGGTACTCTTAAATCCCCCCATGGATGGGGGAGTTCAGAGATTGATAATGTAGGCAAGCTTTTTCAGATGAGGGATCCGAATTTCTACTTATCGGATGTAGGCCCCCAATAAAAAGGTGACACCTGATTTTCGTATAGGAATCCACATAAGATTCTACAATGACTGTAATTTCTTGGAATAAGGTTTGTTTATTGTTAATGGATAAAGGTAATCGATCGAAAGATTAGTGCTTGGGCATGTAGAAAGTAGAAGCAGTACTTAGGCTTGTCTTAATTATTATTGCCTTTTGGGTTCTCTATAAAAAGGGCCTTTCTCGTTTTAGTGTTGGCATGCAAGCATAGAAGAGAAGTACAAGTAAATCGTACGAGAAGGTTAGAGAAAGAGAGTGTGTGTGTGTGTGACAGAAAAATAAAGATGGGAGACCAAAGTGCAACAGGAAAATTGGGTCTCTTTCTTCACAAGATAAAGCCTTACGTGGCTATGGTTTCTTTGCAATTTGGATATGCAGGAATGTATATTCTCAGCATGGTTGGTTTGAGGCGTGGCATCAATCACTTTGTTCTTTCTGTGTACAGGCATTTGATTGCCTTCGCTGTTATTGCACCATTCGCACTTGTTCTTGAAAGGTCTCTTTCTCTCCCATATATGCGCATGCATGCATGCATGCATATATATATATATATATGTATATGTATAATATGGATTGTTTTACCTAATTAAACTAATTATATATGTTGTTACTACTTGAACTTACTGTTTGATTTCAACTCCTTTTACAGAAAAATAAGGCCAAAAATGACTCTGGGGATCTTCCTAAGAATAATGGTGCTTGGTTTTCTCGAGTAAGTCACTAAAACATGTAGTATTTTGTTATATACACGCAACTCCAGAAACACAACGAATTTAATTTTACATGGCTAGATTTTAAGTTATTAGTATTTGAATTTTGAGAGAGAATTATCATTTTCACGTAATGATCACTTCCTGCAGGCCTGTTTTTGCTCAGAACTTGTACTTTGTGGGAATGACATATACCTCAGCAACATTTGCATCTGCCACTGCTAATATCCTCCCTGCCATTACCTTCATTTTTGCACTTATTTTCAGGTAAAAGTTCATAATTAACCTGTCATTATATAATTTTTATCACAATCGTCTACGGCATCATGCACTAGCAAAGTTGGATTACATATACAACGCACGTGTTGGAGCAAAATTTCTCACAAGAAGAAATGCAATTAGTTAATGTATTTAAATTATTAACATGCACTAATTAAGGTCATTATTCCAATATTTAGGTTAGAAAAAGTCAATTTCAAGAAGCTGCCTAGTGTAGCAAAGGTGATCGGGACTGCAATCACAGTCACAGGAGCGATGGTGATGACATGGTACAAAGGTCCCATCATTGAATTTATAAGTGGACAAGGACAAAGCCACCACACCAGCACCACATCCGGCGAACAACATTGGGTCACCGGCACTATGATGCTCCTAGCCCGTTGTTGCGGTTGGTCCGGCTTCTTCATTGTACAAGTGAGTAGCTACCTTGTCGTACGTTTAGCAAGACTCAAATGTTTATTCCTTGTGAACTAATTTGAACATTATTATTGTATGTTTGGTGCAGTCTTTCACACTAAAGCTATACCCAGCCGAGCTCTCTCTCACTGCTTTGATATGTTTAATGGGTGCAATGGAAGGGGCCATAGCCACGTTCGTAGTCGAACACAGCATGAGTGTTTGGGTTATAGGCTGGGACTACAGGCTTCTTGCCGCTGCTTACTCTGTGAGTACCAAAATATCATCATATAAATCAACTATTACAAGCTAATTACCAACTTTAATTCCTTGTTGGGACTGTTGCAAAGTTGTTTGACAAAATGAATCTTATTGTGAATAGGGCATAGTTTGCTCTGGAATTGCATATTATGTGCAAGGTATTGTGATGAAGGAACAAGGTCCAGTTTTCGTGACAGCTTTCAGCCCACTGGCCATGATCATCACCGCCGCTCTAGCTGCCATCATTTTAGCTGAGCAAGTCCGCCTCGGAAGGTATATACATAATTAGCTACAAATTAATATTTACGATCTATTTTAATTCAAGAATAGTCGTCACTCAGGATCTCTTCCAACAAAATGAACCCTAAACCCTAGTGTTGCATGTTATTTTTCTTTTGTTGTATTGCAGTATACTTGGAACTATTCTCATAGTCATCGGCCTCTATGCTGTTGTTTGGGGTAAAAGCAAAGATCCTACAACCTCTGCCTTATTGATCAAAGGCGAGAAAGCTGTTGCTCATGAATTGCCAATCACGGACAGTAATAGGTCATCGATAACTGTGGATGACAACATTAAGGATAGTACTACTGGAACTGCTGGGGACTTCAAGGTTCCAATCAAAGCACAAGAATCATGAAAAGTACTATGTCCAAGATTAATCCCATGGAGGTCTAATTACAATTTTCAAGATCTCCTTAAGTGATATTGTATTTTGTTTTTCTTTTTTCTTCTATCTTCTAGGAATTTTATGTAAGGGATAAAATTCGAATTTAAACACCTTGCAACAAATTAAAGGTGGATTTAGCATCAAATCATCCTCATGGAAACAAGTGAGACTTCATCCGAAAATGTGTAATTTTGAACGTACCTTTGAGAATGAGGGTAGAGAGTTAGATTCTCTCTCCTCACATTTCCACTATTTATCTCTCTCTTTTCTCTTTTTCTCTCAATAAAGAAGGCAACACATGATGTGTGTGCGGTATAATTTTAAGAGTTCAAATAGGAGGTAAATAGAGGGGAGGAGAGAGAATCCAGATCCAGAAGGAAATATACGTTCGCCTACATCGTAGGTTGTCTCTGTTTTCCAATTTTTCTCTTTCTCTCTTCAGTTTGTTCTTTTGTTTTTCAATTTATCCGGGGAATGTTTTTGCTTATTATATCTAAAAAGTCTACCTAGCTAGGTTTGAAATTGTAACAACACATGGATAACAAAATTCTACTGTGGTCTGAAGTAAGCACCATAGAAAATCTTGAAGATTAATTGGAATTTCGACCTAAGGTGAATTCCTAAACTAAGATAGTACACTTTTAATTGGAAGTCCAACCACCAAGCCTTATGCGTAGCTCGACTTGCCTAATTCATATTATTCTTTCAAAAAAATATATACATGTATCCACTGTTCTCAAAATCCCCGCCCTAGTGTCGTCTAGGTGCTAGGCGGCTGGTCACCCCTCCAATTAATCTCTAGGCGTTTGAAAATTAAGATATGGTGTATAGACTTGCTTAGACGTCCGCCTAGCCCAACTAGGTGCCCGCCTAGGCACCTGCTTAGGTCGTAACTCTCACTTAGACAGAAAAACGATACCTTTCATTTTGCATTTTAATTATTTTCAATAAAATATAAGAGACTTGTTGAATACTTGAATGAACCCTCATTAAATGATTTTCCCCCATGTTATCAGTATGTTCTAATACTTTATAATCTTATGTCATTTAATTTTGCAATTTATATATTCCAACACAATTATGTAATTTTTTTACATATAAATAGGCACTTATTTATATGATATATAATAAAATTACTTAAATCTGTCTGGGCCCCCGCCTACCGCTTAAGCACTAGGGCCCCTACTCATTGTCCGACTAGCACCTAACTCCTAGCGTCTTTTAGAACCTTATGTATTGAAACGAATTGGAAACCTTATCAAACTAAAAAAAAATAAGGGTGTTATATGGGCTAACAAGAAAAGCGGAAATATAACTTAACACGGAAAAGTTTACATATTTTATATGCTCATCTTTTGACATAAAAGTTTCACATGCTTACCAAGAAGCTAATTTTGCTAGGGACTCTAGTTAAACACGGTCATTTTCCACTAAGGGCCTTGGTGGTCTCAAACCTACCTTCACTAATCATGGAGTTTTTTGTTAACTTTAAGATTGAGATTTTTTTTTATATAATTTAATTTTAATGTCAAATTGTACAAGAAATTTATAGTTCAAGTGAATAAGAACATATCTATCATTGCATTAGAGAACATGTCTTCGAATCTCCCTCTCAAAACACCTCCATCTTTATGAAGTTCCTTTAATTGATACATGTAAAAGAATCTATAGTATTTGCTTAATTTCATATGAAGGAAAACCGAATCAAATCGGTTATTAAATGGTTTGATTTAGTTTGATTCTACTATTGAGGCACCAAAATTGCGTTACACAGTTGTTAAGATTCCTCCCAATATGATGCTATACTACACACAAAAATTGCTTTCCTTAAAAAAAATGACATGAATAGCATTGTTCTAGTTTTAGAGAACTTGTGTGGTAGGGGTTTATCACTACGTGTCGTTTCGTGTCTGTAACAAACAGACATGTGAGAAAAACTAATACATATCTTCTTATTATTAGTACAAAATGCTACATATCAGTAAACTCGTGGCATGCAAGACCTTCTCCAAGTTTTATGCACATTTTACACATGCAAAATTTGTACGAAGGACGTGGCAATTTTCCATTAGAAGCTAAAAATGAGATTGGTAAGTAGATTTAGATGGCACAGGCGCTCGAAACCATGTCCCTCTTTATTCCTTCTCCTCTCCGCTCTCCGATCGCATCATCTTTATTTACCCGAAAGACAAAAACAAGGTTGCATCAGCGCTTTACCCAACTCCCTGTAGTCCACTTCTCCTCCTGCTGTGGAGGAAGTGACGAGCTGAGGAAGAATTTTGATCCGAAAAGCTCAAAAATGGCTATATCGCCGATATGGGTATTTGGGTATGGCTCTCTTATCTGGAAGGCTGGTTTTAACTACGACGAGCGCCTCGTCGGCTTCATCAAAGGCTATCGCCGTGTCTTCCACCAAGGTCTCTCTCTATCTCTCTGGCTCTCTACATATAATATATGTATATATGTATGTATGTATATAGATATATTAATGTTTTCTGCAATCTGTTCAAAGTTGCGTTGGTGGGTCTGTTTTTATTAGGCAGTACGGACCACAGAGGGACGCCTGAATATCCAGGAAGAACAGTCACATTGGAACCTGCAGAAGGAGAAGTCTGTGTAAGTTGCGGTCCCAACAAGTTCAAAACTATTTGTAGTTTTTGTTTTTCAATTTGGTATTTTGCTATTAGTCTTTTGGATCGAAGATACATAATTTCTTTTGTAATGGTTGCTTGTGTTTACATGTCTCCCTATTGTTGAATACACCAGATATTCAGTTTAGTAATGTGGTGGTGTTTACGAGGCCGTCGTCACTGCAGATTAGAGTAGTTTAGAACATCAATTTTTTTTAAAAGAAAGAAATGTGCGGTGGTGTATCAATTTCATTTTGTGTTGGAATTATCAATTGTCGTGTAATTTTATTGTTAATCTCCTTTTTATCTTGTGAGTTTGTAGTGGGGAGTTGCCTACAAGATCTCAAACAAGGAAGATCAAGAAGTTGCTATAACGGTAGTTTCTTTTATCTTAAAAAGTTTATCTTGATGTTAAATTGGTTCTTTTGCTAGCATCTGTTGCTCTCTTGGTGTTGTGCACATGTTTTTTGTGGCTGCATTTCCTTTGCTAAGATTGTTCAAGGTTCCAAGTTATATCTTTCGGCACTCTGTGTTCTGCTGCAATTTATTGGTTGTCAATGTATCGAATCTGTGGCATTAGGTCCAGTTCTTTCAGGGCTTGAAATTGCTAGACTATGTTCCGATCCAGAATATATCATTTTATCCTTGTCACTTGTTGTTTGGCTCCCCCGATGGTGACCTTGTGAAATGTGCTCGTTCACAATTCACACCTTGTTCCATTTCTCTTGTTTTCAAGTAGCAATTAATATCTCGAAACAGAACTTGATTTATGGCGTTGTAACACAGTATTTAGAAGTGAGGGAGAAGCAGTATGACAAGAAGGCTTATCTTGATTTCTTCACCGTAAGCATAAGATCCCTTTGTAGCGTGTTCTCTAGCATTTTTATCGTTTTTGTTTGTTAAGCAAAATATAGAAATTTCTCTCAGGATCCAATGGCGACATCTGCAGCTGTTTCAGGTGTAATGGTGTAAGTAGTGAAAATCAACAAGAACTTTCTGCATCTTCGTACATGTATTTTTGCATTCAGTGCAACCAGTTCAGAACTGACATTGTCACTATTTAGATACATCGCCTCTCCGGACAAGAAACATAATGTGAACTACTTGGGTCCTGCATCCACCGAAGAGATCGCCAAGTATGTAAATCTCATCGCTTCATGTTTATCTAGATCGATGTAGTAGAAAACATCTACAATGCCGCTACTGGGCTAAACTTTGAATATGAGTAGTCGAGAATTAAATGTGAGTAGGAGTATCTTGCTTCTGTTTTCGTGAAATCTGCCTCGCCGAAAATCTGAATGATAAGATACATTAGCTTTTATGCCTAATTCCTTGATCGGTTGCCATTCATAGAAAGAAAAAATGGTATTGACCCTGATGCATCCTTTCCTATATATCTGCAGACAAATTGTTCAGGCTGAAGGCCCGTCGGGGCCTAATAGAGACTACCTTTTCCGCCTTGAAGAGGCACTTCTTCAACTAGGTAAGGTTCTCTCCGGGTTTAGTACCCCGTAGTTTGTTTATCCAGTCATTTTAGATCTCCATGCTTCTCCATTTCTTCGAAGTTCTTCGTTCTTTGCTTTCGTTTTTTGCCCTTTAATTTTCTTGCCGCAGGATGCAAAGACAAACATGTATTGGACCTTGCAAACGAAGTGAGGCGCATCCTGTCGGAGAGGGAGCTGACTTCAACATGAGGCCAAGAAGCTTTATGATTTTACAGGTCCCCCGGCATAACAATTATATGAATCTGTTACCAGAACATGTAGTCTGATTAAGACATTGTTTCGCCTTTCAATTGCTTTTGGATGGCACTTTGATGTCCATCATCAAAAATTCCTCATTTGTAAACTCTTGTTCATGTTGAATTGGCCTGCATGACGAGAGACTCAGATAGTAGGGCAACCGGTTTATCTTGAAGGTTCCGCTGGACAATGAGAACGAACTTGTCCCGTTCAATGCTGTCATCGTGGTTCACCATTGTGTGTAAATTGACAGTGGATATTTGACTAAATTCAGGTATTTTCAGGCAAAGTTGTAACAATCACGGTGAACCGCAAATTTTGCACGACACAGAAATCCTACGAAAAACATGATCGAATTGGTCCCTAAACTGGATTGAACCAATTTACACCCAGGACCATAAACAAACAAGTTTACGACATTGGGGCGTTAGTTACAGACGTTGATCTCAAACAGGAGAAGAAAAGATATCCTCTCCATGAGTGATTACTCTTAAATTGCATCAACTGGAGTAAGGCAATTATTCCACTAGCACGGAGAATCAGAGCTAATAATACATCACAACAGCTTGCATTTCACATTAACCGCGATAACAATCAATCTTACAGATTCGGTAAATTGAACATTACAGCAATGTACCTTAGCATCAAAACGGAGCAAAGAAGTCGCAATACATATCATTAAAAGTAGATGAAGTTGGGGAAATGCTTGTCGGATGTTCCTCTCTAGTATGCTCAATCCAAAGAACGGTTTTATGCCAACTGCAGCAAGATCGGCGTTGGCTTTAACTACCTGATGAAAGCAATTTGTTGAAAGAATCATCATCCCTACTTCTGATGTGCAAAGAGCTGTTTTGGCAGTAAGATTGATAAGGTTATTTGCTGATATAACTCAAAAGTTGTTGGTTCAACTTCATTACTGCTATTTATTCCACACCCATAAGAAATATCAGAGAAGGCTATACTGACTCGACATTGTACATAAACAGTTTAAAATTTAATCGCTGTCATCAGCTTCATCTGCATAAATAAAGGAAAAGTTTGTCAGAATGACTTCATATGAATCCAATGATGTTAACTAAAGAGAGCAAATCCAAGAATTGCACATATACTACTACCACCAAGATAAACATTTGAACTTGCATCGTACGACTTTCCAATACACGTTTAATCTGCTCAATGTAAAAGAAACATTGTGATGTTGTGATGTAATTCTTCCCTGCATGCCCTCTAAACTCGAGATATCCTAACTTCCTTTTTTCTGAAGTTTACTCTGTGAACTGTATTACACAACTCTGATTCATGAACAGAATACAGAGATTTATTGTATTAAATGGAGGTTGAGCAAGAACTTGATGAAAAATACATCCGTGCGCAGGGACTAAACATTAATTGACATTGAATACCTCATTAGCTCCAAATGTAGGACAGTTAACGATCGTATCAGTTTTGGTTAATAAATAAATGCTAGAATCCTTGGTAAAACATGGAAGCCACAAACCGTAATGATTTGACCTTGACAAGTGCATAATGAATGCATAGGTAACACTGCAGAAGCACCGTAAATCATAAAATTCTCATCCTCATAACCCTAGTTTCCATTCATAATAGCAGTAAATGACATTAAGGTTCTTGAATTAACACTTACCCTTGTCACTATGGTTGCTATCACTATTACCATTATCCCCATTGTCCTCGTCCTCAACCTCATTCTCTTCCTTGTCACTGTCGTCATCTTCATCATTGTCATCATCTGAACTTTCAGCATCATCAGATTCACTTTCAACTGGTATTTGGGGCTTTGGAGGAGGCACAAAACTAGTAGTGGACCTTCTACGTGAACTTGTTACAATGTTACTCATGTCAATGCCTTCGAGCTCTTTTGCCCTTTCCTTTTTCTTTTTGACTTCCTTGATTTCTGAAATAAGGTAATGGACGGTATGAATCCTTACAAGTGTGACAAAGTCGGGATAAAAGATGTATGGTGAAACCACACCCCCATGGAGAATGATTTACACTTGCAAGAATAATTTCTAAGGTATAAACCACACCCCCACAAAGTCAGGCATCACAACTTCCATGTTAATCCTAAACCCAAATTCCTAGATGAAACCTAGCAAAGTTTATTTTTTATAACATCTGGATAAATTAGATCAAATCATACCCACCGTTGGTATTGCAAGTATCACCATTAAAGGCTAAATTTGAATACTCACCTTTCTCAGAGGGATGTGCAGATAATCCTTCTCTAGCGAGTATCTCCTCTAACTCCTTTATCAGGTGCGCTTCACGTTTATTCTCAGGCACCTGCTTGACTTTCTTGTATACTGAGGGGGCAACGCTGTATAACAGATAATAAACATCATAAAGTAACAATGACCAGGATACAAGTCTTAATATGCATAGAGTCATAGATGAAAAACCTCATTCCACATGCTTTGATAACTGATCGTAGATGCTCCACACGTTTCCCATATGCAGGTGTTGTTGAAACTTCTTTCTTCTACAATTGACAAATAGTATGATTCAATAATAGACATAGCCTACTTTTATGGTTCAGACTAGAGAAACATACAATGTAATTACCTTTACAGGTTTTTCGGCAAATGACTGAGAATGGTCATCTTCAGAGACATTTCCACTGTCTTCTGCATCACTTTTTTCTTCTGGGTCTTTCTGAGGAGGCTTGATTCTCTTCTTTCCAGAGACGTTAGTCTCCTTAGCCATTATTTTCCGTTTCTTAAGGCCGTCCATATTCTGCATCTTTCCTTTTGGAACACTTTTGCTTCTAGGTTTTACTTCATCTTCTTCCTCACTAATTTCATTATCTGAAGAACCAGATCTCTCATCGCTTCTGACCTTAGTGGATGCTTTTCTCTGAGCACTTTTCTGCGTCTTTCCTTTTGGAGCAGTTTTTCTTTTAGGTTTTACTTCATCTTCTTCCTCACTACTTTCATTATCTGAAGAACCAGAACTCTCATCGCTTCTCACCTTAGTGGATGCTTTTCTCTGAGCACTCCTCTGAACATTTTTCTTGGCAGTAGTTGCAGGTTCAGAATTTTCACAAGATTCTAGAACCTAAAAAGGAGAATAAATGCAAAGTATGACTACACCGATAGACATATTCACTTCTAGAATTTCAAGATGCCTCTAAAAAAAATTATCTTACATCGTCTAGTTGCTGACTTATAAACTTCTTAAAGGAGTCAAGAGTATATTTCTGAAGCTGAAGATCTTCCTCCAAAAGTCGGCGAAGTCCAACCAGAGTAATCTTTCTGTCGTGAAAGGAAGGAATAAATAATGAGTACTTCATCTAGTCAACTGACTTCATTGAAAATTAACCACCAAAGACAAAAGTCAAATAGATTCTAATGACAATCAAAAGAGGAGCAGGAACATACATGAAAATTAGTATATTATTGCAATAGAAAGCAATAATTGATACTTAGTTCATAGAAAGTAGCATACTCAGAATTAGCTTTGATATAAGAACCCCTCTTTATAAGGGCTGACTTTATCACACTCTCAGTTGGACCCTTTTTTTGGTTGGTAGTTTTAGTTTCTTCAGTTCCAGATTTGGCCACTTTATGCCCTGTCAGAAGCCCCATTACAGGAGAGTCTTCCATTTTCTCCTCATCTTCTGAACATGTTTGCTTCGCATCTTTATTTGACTTTCCTTTTGGTAATTCTGCGGCTTCTTCTTTAACCAGAGTTTTTTCATCAGTCTCCCCTGATGCCCTTGAGGTATTGTCATCACCAGCACCTTCTAAGACCTAGCATTTTGAGAAGAATAAATGCAATGAAGAGATGACATATTTCATGCGAAAACATTTGGACTCCAATTAATAAATAAATAAACTAAAAAATTAATACAATACAATACAAAATGAAATAACACGAAAGCAAAAGGTAAAGTGGCATGTTCCTAAATCATGGGCACAAGCTGGAGTGAGGAAATTTTGGCTATGGTGATTGAATTGGCCAGTGGCACTTCCCAAGCTCATGGGAGATGCCCTCAGGGTTATGGTGAAGAATCACCTACTCGAAACTATATTGCTTTCTTGGTCTCCTATTCAGCTTGTTGGTTTAAAGATTTTTTTGTTATTTTGAAGCCCTACTACTACTTTGGACTGCGGACAGAGGTATTAGATCTGGTAAAAATGCACCCCAGTCAAAAAAGAACACATCTGCATAAACATCCAAGTTTCTCATAAATCTCATCCTGCATGATCACTTAAATGCTCAACCTTCATCTCTGGGAAAAATTAAAGCAACCAGACACCCAGTACTCCCCCCCCCCCCCTCTCTCCCTCCCTTGCAGTATGGCAACTGTGGGACAGGTAGTAAAACCTAGCTTGGGTAAATACATCAGCATATGGCCCCTCAGGATCGAACTTGATGATGGCCTGCCTGTTCCATAGAGTCAATGCACAGCCCAAATCCAAGAGCAGAAGGGCAGGGCTAACCACATTAATTAGTTAGAAAGGAAATGTCTGAGTCAGAAAATCTTTCTGATATTATCTCAAGTAAATGAAATTCTCAAGAACAAGACAAGATAGTTTTTTTGTTGAGCCAAAGTCGCCAACAAAAAACAATCAGGAAAAAAAAATGATTCAAAAGGTAGTTTTGTACAATCCATTGATCATATAACATATATGAAGAAAGCTTTTGACGTAAAAAGCCTTACCTTTTTGAAAACAAATTGAGAAAACAAGTGGAGCCTTAGAAAATTTCTAAACTTTCACTTTAGGTAACTCTTTCTTGCACATCTTTTACTTGATTCTCATTTCATAAGAATTCATTTTAATGCTACGCATCTGTACTTGAGAAAAACTAAACGCTCACGAGTCTAGAAAGTTTCCCACAGAAGAAATAAATTTCCATACAAAACAACCATAGAAGAAAACATGTACAGAATATTTCCAGTCCAAAAATCATTCCCATGGAACTATTTTCGATTGACGCAAAAACACTACAATGAAAAGTATTGAAGAAACAGTAAATGACCCATACGAAATTTAACAAAGGGAACATAAGAAGCTACCATGAAAGTCATCAATAAAACATAATAAAAACGATGATGTTATGACCAAGTACACTATAGTCATACTAAATGACAACAACAAGCTTCGATATTGAAAGATATACCTCCACTAAATGTTCCTTGACAAATCTTTTGTGCACATCCAACGCAAATGTTTCCAAGCCCAGGTCTTTCTCTAAGACTCTTCGGACACCCTCAAAAGTCAAAGAACTGCATATAAAAATAAAACTTTAATAAGTAATCCAACC